GTTGAGCAACCACTTGTATTACTGACTGTCAGTTACCAACTATTCGTATATGTGTTATTTGTGAAGCATGATATGAGATCTTTAGAGTAACGTGAACTTTCTTGTGACAGAAAGATCAGTGAACCATCATCAAAGTTATTCATGAGGCCGAACATCTGCTCACCTACAAGACCAAAACTGGTAGTTGAATTTTTGATGAAATATGTTCAATATCAATAGACGTCTGTGTGATCGAGTCATCGGGATTGCATGAATCGGCTCTGTGGGCGTAGTTACTGTAAATTACCTCGTTTTTATATTCAATTTTTTTTCTATCACCGCATGTTAAGTCTTCTTCAGAAGTTAACACTAGCGATAACACTGACTAACACAACAGAACTAATCAGCATGGGAAATGATGTGACTTCAATGCAGTGACACATGAACAGAGTAATCAAAGTAAGATAAGCCCACAAGTGCACTTCAACCGATTTTATACCCAAATTCTACAAATCCGCTAACGTGCTAGTTCCAAACTAATACTATCGTTTGCCTAGAATATACTATGCGTGTTAAGAGTTTTAAAAGTGACATGAGTCACCTAATCTTATTGATTCAAGTACCTATGAATACTTAAGCAATCAGAAAATGGGTTGGTGATATTTGATTTTACTCCAGATGACACAGGTATGTTTACATTTTCATTTGAATTTTAGCAAGGAGTTTGCATGGGAATACGACGCAAAGACACAAAGAAAATTCCGAAATTCTTAGACTATGACGATTTCGTTGGATTATTTTTGACAGCTGGAAATCAAACCTCTACTACAGATGCATATCCACAGGGTCTAAGTGAAGTTCTAATACAGAAAAAGAAACCTGAAACATTTATTTGTTGACGATTAAGTAGAAGTCTTCAGCAATAAGGATAGGAGGTCTAGTGACCTATTTTAATCCTTGCAGTTTGTTACACTGTGGAGGTCCAATCTCGTCTTGAATATATCAACAGAAGGTGCTTATATTACGTGTTCTGGTAGAGAATTCCAGTAATTCACTACTCGGTGTGAGAAACGAAACTCCAGACATAGACGATTTGATCTCGGTTTTTGGACTTTCTTTGAATGTTCTCTCAAATGCTCAGCCCTAGACGAGAGGAAAAGATAGGACATGTTAGTACCAAGGTCATCGTTCAGGATACGATATGCCAATATTAGATCACCCCGTATTCGCCGGTAAGATAACGGAAATAAGTTGAGGTATCTCAGTCTGTCTTCATAAGATAGGCTAGATAAGCCTCTTACCATTTTTGTCCCGCGGCGTTGGACTCGTTCCAACATATCCGCCTCATATTTGAAGCAAGGACTCGCTGCTTGAATCCCATATTCCAAATGTGGCCGTACGAAAGTTGGGTATAATAATCTAAAAATTTCCCCATCCAGATACCGGAAAGATCTACGAATAGACCATAATGCCTTATAGCCTTTTGCAGCAGCAGCCTTACAGTGACTGGTTGTTTTGAGATCATTACTTAGTATGACTCCTAAATCTTTATAGTTTCTTACTTTGGGCAACACTAGTCCACATATTGTGTAGTGATACGAATCATCGTAGTTATTTAATTGCATCACAACACTTTTATTAGGGTTTGCTTCTAGTGACCAACCATTCATCCATGCAACTAATGAGTTAAGATCTTCCTGTAAAACTATTCTGTCTGACACACTATATATGGGTCTCCAAATCTTAATGTCATCGGCGAATAGTAGGACGGATGACTTAGCTATAGCTGGCAATTCATTTATATAAAGTAAAAAAAGAAGAGGACCTAAAATCGTGCGTTGGGGGACGTCACTTTTTACTGGTTCCCACGATGAGAGAGCCCATTTACTCTTACCCTTTGTCTCCTTTCATGAAGAAAGTCACTTATCCAGTCTATGACTGCATAATGAATTCCAAAACTTTCTAGTTTCAATTTAAGACCAGAATGGGAAACCTTATCAAAGGCTTTACTTAGATCTATGAAAATGACATCTACAGGAATATTGCGATCTTTTGCCTCAGCCCAATCTTCTCTTGCAATGAGAAGATTTGTCAAATATGATAGACCTTTTCGAAAACCATGTTGTTCCTTTGACAAAAGATCATGTCTTTCCATGTAGTTTATAACAGCCATCCTAATAATTTTTTCCATTAGTTTTACAACTGCACTAGTTAAGCTGACGGGTCGATAGTTACTAACTAAATCCCTCCCTCCAGTCTTCTACACCGGACTGATAATTGCGTCCTTCCAGTCTCTAGGCAATCTGGACTGCCTTAGGGACATATCGAACAGCATCGCTAAGGGTTCAGCAATAACATCTGAGAGGGCTTTCATAATCCGAGGATGAATATCATCAGGACCACTTATCAGGTTTCAGATGCTGAAGTAGCCTTAAAACAGTTTCTTTCTTAATAACTACAGGGTCCATCAACAAGTCGCCACAATCACAATGAATAGGTGATCGTTCCTCATTATTGGTAGAAAAAACTTTACTGTAATATTCCGAAAAAGCTTACGCTTTTTCGGTATCATTTCTTGCCAAACTTAACGGATTTTCTTGTATCAAAAGTGATGGTATTCCATCACTTCTCTGAGTTCGCCTCTTTATATACGAGAATAACCGTTTTGGACTATGTTTGCAATCCCTAACCAATTGTTTTTCGTATGACCGTCTAGTCCTACTAATTAACGCTTTACAATTATTTCTAATCTTACGATAACTAGATCTGTACTGTTCTAAGCCAGTAGAGATGAACATGTTCCAGTGTTTTTTTCTACGCCTAAGGAGTTTCTTAACTTCTTTATTTATCCACGGTGGACTATTGTTTGTTCTACGTGGCACCAAGTATGGTATAAATGGGGACGTGACTAAACTTGCCTTTAAATACAGACCACGCTTCATCAACTGATGAGCTAGTATCTACTGACCAATCTATCCTAGTAGCACAATCCTGAATTTCTATTATGTTAGCTCTCCATATGTTTGGTCGAGGCTTAATCTGATCGTATATCATATCGCCAGCTCTAAACGTGAATGATAAAACAGCGTGGTCGCTATTTACTAACGGGGGAAGAATATTTAGGTTGGCAATATCCTCAGTCTCATGTGCAATTACCAAGTCCAACAGCGTAGAACCTTGGTTTACACCAAAACGTGTAGGTTTGGATACATGTTGTACTAATGTATGTTCCATTACTGCTTCCAAGAGCCTGCTATCAAATGAGTTTATAGAGCATTTCGTGGTCATCTCAGTCCAACTAATGTCAGGTGCATTAAAGTCTCCTAATATCAAGCATCTGTTAATTGCACTCCATAGCCGAATGTGCTCTAAAATAAAGTCATCAGCTAAGCAGATTGGGCTGCGATAGATGACACCGAGTGCAAATGTACAACATCCGACAGTGAGTTCACAGCTAATGACTTCACTAGTTCCACTATCATGAGATTCGCAAACAGAGGAGCGGATATTTATACTATTGGCCATGTATAGAAGGACGCCACCTCCTTTCCTGCATATATGTCTATCACTTCTTAAACAATGATATCCGGATAATTCTGGGGTGATATCGAAGTCATGGACTAACCAAGTTTCCGTCACAGCTACAATGAGTGGCCTTAATTTGTCCACTAATGTTCCTAGCTCGTGGAATTTATGTTTTAGACTACGGGCGTTGGCATATAAAACTCCTAGGGGGAACGACCTATCCACACAGGCCTTGGTAGCATTCGCTTCCAAGACCTGACTATTCGAAAACCCACCAATCTGAGATTTTCTTCACTGTTTTGACGACGGGTTTCTAGTTCAGCTAGTGCCGTCTTCCTTTTTATTCTATCTTCAAGAGACACATCCGGTCGCATTCGAATGTCAGAGTTGTCGTGACTTCGAGCGTTACTTAACAGAGGATTACGTTGTTTCTCCGACCCTAAAATTACCTTAAGGAGTCTACACGGTCGGTGTAGAACACTGTCATCGGCCCTTTTACCTATTCTAACTAATTTTTTTGACCTGAACACCTTTAGTGTTATCTGGTAATATGCTACGGATATATTCTCCAAGCCTCTCTAAGTCATGGGTGTGTCTAACCTTAGGATCTGGATCGTTAGACTCTGGCAATTTACTCACAATAATATTCGATGATATTAAATTCCTCTCAGTCGCACTAGGATGATGATCTGCCGTTCTATCAGAGTGCGATAATGCATTGAGTGACTCAGACTGTGAGTTCCTCAATGGCTTGTCAACCAAGTGTGCTTTATCATTAGCTTTTTTTCCTTTTCTTTTCCTCTTTACTGCGGTCCATTTTTCGTCATTCAGGACAGCTGCATTGAGACTATTGGGGACGGTGACGGTTTTACCCAGGTCCTCAATTTCTACTAAAGATACATGATTACTCATGTCAATACCATGTGGTAATTTACTCGTCGTTTGTTGTAACGGAAGTTTCACTTTGTCATTAATTAGAGTAGGTTGTTCAGCGCGTTTTGTAACAGCACTTACAACACTGACACAGTCTTCACTGTCAGTGTTTGCGTTACTAGCGCACCCACTATCTTTCTTTTTACAGGCTAGAGCCAATAGGCTCATAGCCTCTTGAATTAATGTCGTCTTGTTAGTACAGCAGAACATACAAAGCCAGTGCGAGTTAGGCTTAGAACATCTTTTGTATGCAGATGGACTGAGACGGGTACACATCTTGTGGAACCATTTTTTGCATTCATCGCACTGCATCCCTTCATCTACGGGGAATAAACAGTTTGGCTGTCCACATTTGAATGAACTACCAACCATTGTAATCAGATTAGGTTTAAAACACAATATGATCACAATAATAGCACAAGCGTCAGAGTATATGCAAAAGAAGGATACCTATTATTCCTAAACCCATAAAAATGCTGAAGTAGTGACCTGATCAGTGAAATTTCTTAGACATTATGTATCTTTTTCGTCATCCGTTTCAGTCATACTCTGTTGTTGGGACACTCTTCTTCAAGGTTGTTCCGTCTTCGGTTTTAAGGGCGCGTCGTTGGAATTACGAAAAACTGTGCGGCGATGTCCACCAAGCGTCCTTCGTTCGCTCCTCAGAAAGGGCCTAGCTCGTTTAAAAAACCAAGGTATTTATTTGTGCATTTACTTCGTGTGACACCTCAGCCTATCACTTTTAGATGACGTGACATTTTCGAAATTAGGATATTTCGCAAATAACCTCGAGGCGTGTAACCAGACCTAACGTCATGAAAACCTATGGGGTATGAAGTACTTGATGCCAACTTTGTTGAGAATATTGTTCTCACGTCTTTTTCGAAACTCTAGGATGACCTCGGGAAAATTCACCAGAACCAAAAGAATGTATAATAATGTGAGGAATTAGGATTAAGGTTGGGAGTTAGAATCTGGGTTTAAGAATTGAAGTCAATGTTTTCATGACGAACGGGCATCACCTGTAATGTCAAAATTCTGTTTAGCCCAATGAATGGGCTTATTTTTTCTCCGAGGTCCAATACTCGTTTAACCTTATCTGATTGGTTCCCCCACAAATTGTTGTCTTGTCTGCTTTCACTTTGCTGAGCAATATAGCTTAATATCAATGCTCATCTTGTAATATATTTGAACTGTTTATATCTTTGAGGATGACACAGGGTAGTCAGCAGAATTATGTTTCGAATTTCGTCTTTTCCATGCAGTTAGACCGATGCTTTTGCAATATTAGACCCATTCTTAAGGTTTCTTGATACTGATTTTCGCTGGCTAGTGTTCCGTGAATACTGCGCTGACTATCCGTTCGTCGCTTAGCTGAAGATCCATAGGAAACGTTCCATACCAAATCCAAGTTTGTCAAATAAATCGACACAAAGTTACTAAAGCTTACAATAAGTCAATCAATCGATGTGATTATCATTTGTCGACGACTTTTGAGAGACGCTAGGCTGACCTTGAGAATGTCCACCTAATAACCAGGAACAAATGAGGGTTATAAACCTGTGTGAGGAATTGTAATTATGATTGATAGTTAACGATTAAGGTTAGAAATTGGATTTCGAGCTTTCGTCACGAGCTGACACCAGCTGTAATGCCAAAACTCAATTTATCCGATTGAGTCGGTGAATGTCGCGCGAAAATCCGAGACCCATTATCTTATATGTGATTGATTCTTCCATTAATTATAGTCACGTTACTCAATCTAACCTGTCATTGTGTTTAAGAAATAACAGATTTGATGGTTCATAGGTTTGCTAAAATTATGATTCATCATGTTAAGATAAATGCATTATACTGACTAATATCAGTTTGATAGTGAGATTTAGTTCGCATTATTTAAAATGGTCATTTCTCTCCGATCAGAGGTAACCATGATGATGCCCCAGAGCCTTCAAAGTTCGAGCAGGAACTTATGTTGTTGGATGATATTGAAACTGAAGATATAGCTTTGGTGGACGAAAGTTCTGCTTTGTCTCATCTGGACGTTCAAACAAATTCGCATTGGCCAAGACGTAAATTAGAGAAGTTGGATCCAAATAAAGATAATATTACTTTCCAGCAGTTCGATGTCTCACACTATAAAGTTAGTTTCATAAATATATTTTACTGTACTCCAAGCACACTTCTGTCGAGTGTAAGGGTCGAAATTATTGTGAATAGATTTTTCGATTTATTAGACTATTGTAATCTCTACTTTGTGCGTACTTATCATTAGTAAATTAGCACACTACTCGTCAAATCATTATTTTACTTAAACAGAAACCAATTTTCATACTGTTTGTTTTGCCTTCCATATCATTTGAGCTTGATAGATTGTCCCTTCATTGCTGTCATCGATTGGTGTTACGAAAAGCTTTAATTACCTTCGATTTAGCTAGTCAATAACTCAATGCGACTAGTTTGCGATCTTTAGTGTTGAAGGTTGGCATCTATATAGTGTTTTTTTTTCATTATCGTGTAGCTGTTCAAATGAAATACATTGCTCACGTAACTGTCATTTCAGTGATAGGTAGTATAACTTCAGCTTCTTTGAGTTTTATGCTTGTTGGAGATCACTTACTGTTGTGAACTTGATTGTCTGCCCAATAATTTGCACGTTCCATAAAGAAAGAGTTCGTCTCAAACCAGTTTTAGGGATTGATGTACTAGGTTACATGGCACAACATCGAGGTTTTTAACACATAAGTTTCATTTGTGACTGAAAGGGTATGAGGGCAGAGTTGAAAATTATCGTACCACTGGCTGGTGATCTGATTGGTTGGTAATCGGAAAAAGACGATTTAACGGAAACTCTATATCTGGTTCGTTCGATCCCACTTAAAATGTTGCACAAACAAATATAGTGGTAACGGGACCACAACCTACAAGAAATGAAGGAAATACAAACACAGCAGACTAGGGCATTAGAGTACGAACAATAGAATACAAGAATCACGTTTAAAGAACATTAGCTTTAGACTAGAAGAAAGTATGACAGTAGTTTACAAGTTGATCGGAGGCCTATAATTCATAGGCTAAAGTAGGCACATAACTGAATGTTACTACATTACAGATTCTCAGTTTACTGAAATAATATGCCAGCAATCGCTTTAGTTGTTTGTTGTCGCCTCTTCATATTTCCCTTCCATCATTTATAATGCGTATTCGAATTAAGGGACACTATCATTTGGTTTTTCATTATTATGTGTACGAATTGGCTGATATATTACGAATTGTACTAGGCTCAATGAGTGTCTATTAAACCTACTATATAACATCTAATTAATTGACTATTGTCCTAGCCAATGGTTAGAGAATGTTAATGGCTGCCACATAAGATCTTATGTAGGGTTATAGCCTACAGATAACGGTCGATTGGAACCAGCGGATATCATGATCAGACATTAAATAAAACATAAAATATTAAAATAAGTAATGATGCGACTCAGTAAGCTGATGCGGGTTCAAGGGATTCGGCGATAAGTTACAATTCTTCGAATACCCTGGTAAGGCTGAAGGTGGAAGAGTCAGCCTTCCCTCTCGAAATGCGCTCACATGGCCACTCGTATACAGCTACTGCCAGAGAAGTCCTAATCACTGTCTTCTCGCGGCTGCGGCGTTATTTACGAGATTGAGAAGACGAAAAGCGAATGTTCAGCTTTTTAACCGGGTTGATAGATATAGAGGAGCAGGCCCTGACAGGTTGACCCCTGAGATTTTTAAGGATGGTGGTCCAGTACTAGCAGTGAGATTGACTGAGGTCTTAAGTAGAATATGGGAACTGGACGTAATTCTATCTGACTGGTCCCAGTCACTGATTGTGCCAGTCTATAAGAAAGGACAAAAGTCCTCCTGTGACAATCACAGAGGGATCAGCTTGACTAATGTAGTGTCTAAAATATTAGCTTCAATAATACTAGGTCGCCTAACCAAAGCTCGTGAAGAGCAGACTAGAGAAAACCAGGCTGGTTTTCGACCTGGACGTGGTTGCATAGACCAGCTATTCACCCTACGTCAGGTCCTAGAACATAGACATACATTCAGACGTCCCACAATCGTAGTATTTCTTGATCTTAAGGCGCCATTTGACTCCGTTGATCGTAAGGTTCTATGGCAGTGTTTGTCAGTGAAAGGAGTACCAAAGAAGTACATTAACCTCATAAAGGCTCTCTACTCGAACACAACTGGTGGAGTTAGGCCTATAGCGAACTGTCATCAGAACTGATTACCTCAAGTGGCGTTCTTCAGGGCTGTCCACTCTCCCCATTCTTGTTTAACTTTGTCATTGACATACTTTTAGAGATAGCACTTTCATCAGCTTAACCTCCAGGAGTTGAACTTTTACCGGGAGGCTCACTTATTGACTTATAATAGGCCGACGACATAGTTTTACTCGGTGAGGACGCTGACAACATGCAGTCTTCTGACCATTATAAGCAACTATGCAGGCATGTTCGGAATGCGATTCTCTCCCTCGAAGTGCAAAATGTTACTTCAGGATTGAGATGCAGCGACACCTGAACTAATGATAGAGAGTGAAGTAGTTGAGCTTGTCGACCGCTTCACTTATCTTGGGAGTCTCATCAGCCCTTGTGGTCTGGTGTGTGACGAAATCTCAACACGGATACAGAAGGTTAGTCTAGCTTTCTCCAACTTGCGTTATTTATGTTGTAGGCGAGATATCCGTCTAGCAACAAAAGGACGGGTTTACTGTGCAGCAGTTCGCTCCGTCCCGAAATGCCCTGGTATGGCCGAGAGTGTGGAGAATCCGCTCTCCCTCTCGAAATGCTCTCACATGGCCAGCGAATATATAGCCTCTGCCAGGGAAGTCCTACTCACTGCCTTCTCGTGGCATTACTGTTGTTTACGAAATTGAGAGGACGAAAACGAATGTCTGGCATTTTAACTTGGTCGGTGGATACGGCGGGTCTACCTAGGGGAGTTGGAAAACCCTGATTCCAAACCTATGGTGTACATGATCTTCAGTATCCTGAGGGAACAAATGGCATATGAATCAATCGTTGGTCACCGACTACCATGGGATTGCATCTCATCACGATGCTCCGCTGCCTTGTGGATCGGATCTTTATGTGAAAGGCTCCGGGTGTGGCCCCCTAATTAAACCACCTGCTTCAGTTCGGGCACCTGGGCAGTATCACAGCCCTTAAGCAAATCGAATGAGATTTGTGTGGCGCATATGTATCTGGTGCTTCCTTGTACCAATATTTATGTGTTTAAATAATAATAAATACTTTATGGCAGTGAAACATGGCCGGTAAGAGTAGAGGATATTCGTAAGCTACTAGTATTCAATCATAGGTGTCTTCGACGCATTGCTCGTATATCCTGGGACCACTGGGTAATTAATGCAGTTGTAGAAAACAGGTACTAGGCAAGGATGGCGAATCGATCGGTGAAGTAGTGAAACTTGATCAGTTGAGATGGCTGGGACATGTGTTACGTATGCCGAACCACCGACGTGCAATGTTTTATGGTGTAGAAGTAGGTTGTAAGAAAGCTGGGAGCGGCCAGACCAAAACTTGACACGAATCCTTGAAGTCACTGACGATTGGACTGAGCCATGTCGGTAGGTGTAGACTACCTGGTTGGGATTCGCGAGATGATAGCAATCGATGGTTAGAGACCTTGAATGACATGACTCAAAATCGTTTGCAATGGCGAAGTTGCATCCACTCTTTGTGTTCTGCCAAATCCTAATCTTCTGAATTCTTCATGTCTCTATCTTTTTTCTCTTTCCAAATTTATTTCACTGTATTATACTCCTTGAATAACATCTTCAAACCCTAATCATTCACATCAATGATTATACTCTTACTACTTCTACCACTAAGGAATTTGTATCGACAACTGCATCTCTGTGCCAACGTGGTATGGCAACTCGAACTGATGTACGTAGGTACGTACGAAGTTCTACGTTGTGACTGACTGACTGGCTGAGAGGATCCACCTAGGAGAGTTGGAAAACTCTGATTTCAAACCAATGGTACACATGAGCTCCAGGATCCTAAAGGAACAAATAGCCTATGAACCAATTGTTGGTCGCCCTGCTGTCATGGGAGTACATCTCCTTACATTGTTCCGTTGCCTTGTGGTTCAGTTCTTTAGGTGAAAGGCTCCAGGTGTGCCCCCCTTAAAAAAGCCACCTGCTTCAGTTTGAACACCCGGGCAGTATCACAGCCCTCATACAAATCAATGGTAACTGCTACTGGCCTCATTATTGTGGCGCATATGTATTCGGTCCCACTTGTACCAATGTTTATATGTTCAAATAAATAAATAAATAACCAAACTTTCAATCACCTTGAAGCGTTAAACTTATCTGGATTCCAACTGTCGAGCTGTTATCTATTTCTTTATTAACATTCATGTTCTCTCACTGACTCCTGTACAAACAGTGCTGTAAAGAAATCACCCATCACTGGTTTTATTGTGATTTATCATTATAATTTGAGCAGCATCGCAATTTAGCGGCCAAACAAATTTGGGTTGGAAATCCTTTTCCTACATCTTCATTACTTCCTTTCGCATAATAAAAACCTACTTCACTATAGTAACTAAAGATAGATGTTTCAGGTCTAAATGGGTGTGTTCATTGCTGAGGATATGTAATGACACCAATCCATAGTCAAACTTAACATGTACATCTCGACATGTTTTACATGTTACAGTTCATAGTTTGATCACTTGATATGTACTTACTTCCTCTATCCTGGTTTTCTGTTTGATCCATTGAGAACTATAACTCGTTTTTTATATGCAACTTGTGTGCCTGCTTCGTTCACGAAAGTAAGTAAAGCTTTATGATGAGCTGATGGCCTATCTGGATAGTGTTGTTGCTTTCTAGCGACACACATGCCAAACTGAAATGTGTTCTCAGTGTGAAATCATATAATTCATAAATCACGGCACTCGTGAAACGTGAATCCAGTATTACGAAAGAGTAGTGAACTAGGATGCTTGCCATTGATCACTCATGTTAGTTCACACTGTTTCCACTATTCCCCAGGTACCTCGAGGTAGGAACCAAGTTTTAGTTGAGGTTTGATTACTTTCCACTTTTGAGTTTCTATTTCGCCTACTTAGTACTCTAACTCATTTTTTCTACATATATGTATATATTGTTTTTATACATGATCCACTGTGTCTGGAACTTACAAAATGTTCTGTATTTATGCATAGTTGATGAGTTATTCAGTCGACTTAACATGTAATAATATTACTTAGTTGTTAAAAAGTAGGTGAGATATATTTCCCTAATAAATGGTTTTGAAGTTCATATAGGTTTTGAATGAATCTAACGATCGAGGCTATTGTTTTCAAACTATTAACTTGAAAAGTATTTGTTATATCTTGTGGCCGAGTGGATGTCCAATTAATGTATGATGTGATAAAACCGGCAATCAGAGAGCAGCGAATTATCGATTGGAACAGTGACACACGAAACTGTACGAGCAGTCTAGAGTACTTATCATATGTACCTGTATCATATGTACCTTAGCATATGTACCTGGTGCCCTTTTGTACCAATATATATGTGTTTAAATAAATAAATAAATAAATAAACTTATCAATCCTGCTTCTGCCTAGCCCAGCTAGTTAAATCCAGAACACCAATAACAATCTCTGGTATGAATCCTTGTATTTCAAACATCCTGAATTTATATACCAAACAGACTGACCACATCGTACCAATAAAATGGGAAATAACATTGGTATAAGAGTTAGCTATATGTGGCTGTAAATGGGGGGGGGAGGCAGCAATTGATAAACTAGGGATAACTCAAGAATGGTAAATCGTACAATAATAGTCTATAGATCAAAATAAAGCTTATAATAAGGGGAACATGGATATGAATAGTTCAGTTATTTAGCAAATATACAATAAAAATTATATACATAATATTGGTCCATAAATGGATCGCAAAGTTACCATTCAATATTGCTATCGGGACATAACAGTATTGTTGACGGATCTATTCTCTTTAAGCTTATTTAGATCGTAGCTTTAAATTGACTGGATTGGTTGATACATATGTTACTCATTTCTGACCATTCATATAGAAGGTTATCTGACAGAATGGAAATATATCTTGTTCTGTGATAATCTGTTGTGTTCACCACCGAAGTCTTTTCTTTCACTTTGACCTCATTTTCTATTGCATGTTATTAACACCTTGATTTGCGTAGTTTTCTGCTGGAGTCAGAAAACTTTATTCCACAGTGTTGTAATGATTTACATATTTTTTCCCCAGGGTGAACATTTACCTGGTATGCCTGGTGCTACTCAAAGTCCTGTACCAATAATACGTTTGTTTGGTATAACTGAAAAAGGTCATAGTGTATGCGCACATGTACATGGTTTTCTACCATATTTCTATGTACCAGCACCGAAAGATTTTTCAACGGATCATTTAAGTGCTTTTCGGGAAGCCTTAAATTCTATGTTATTAAAAGAGAAATCAAAAGAATTTGAAGGATTACAACACCTTGTACTTAGAGTTACATGTGAAGAGAAACAAAGTAAGTCATGTCGATTGATATTTGAAATGCTATTCCTGTATGTTCTACCTTACTGCGTTTTCTTGTTGAACATTACAACAGTATTTGATTCTTGCTTCTTTGACATTTCTAAGCTTTTTATTTAGTGATCAAGGTGACTCGGAATGTTTTGATTTTTTCGGAGGTTGGTAACTAAGATAGTTTTTCTTTTAAATCGTGATCATATTAAGTGGTTCAGTCAGTCAGTTATACTAAACGTTAATCCTGACACGTGTTCATCGACTCAAGTTGTGATACCAGTTTATCACAGCAAGATATGATAATTTCAAGATGAATCACAGCGTAGTAGATATAGTAACATTTTCAGTAGTAGTGTGGTGGACGGAAACTCGACTGGGGAACATTAATTTGTTTAATTCAAAATTACACGGTGTCTTGGTAAAATATGGAAACCATACATTAAGTATATTATTTGCACTTTTTTTTCGAGTTGTCCTTTACCTACTCCATTATTCCTCTAATTCTATTGTTATTTTGATAGCTTCAAAATTTCATTTCTCTTCTCTTCATTTCAATGTTCTGCTAACAGACACTGTACTTCCGACTGGTGTTACATACTACTTATGTCGTTCAGCATAAGTAGCATACATCACGGTTTTAGGAAAGATTCAGTACCGAAAAAATTTAAAAAAGTATACGATTTCGAGACTCAGGCTGTAAAGGAAGGGTAAGTGAACCTAGCCTATTGAGAACGATCTTAAGCAGTGTCACCCAAAGCCTTTAACAATTGGTACGATAATCACTCAAATCCCAACCAGTCGGTCTTCACCTATTAACATGGCTCAGTTCAGTCATCAATGACTTCATGTATTGATATCCTTTTTTATTGATTTGCTACCGCCTAACCATATTCATATCTACTCTTGCATCAAATAACATCACGTCAATGTAGGGGGTAGTTGAACGTACTCGATGCATTACCAACAAACTCATTTAATGAAGACCACTACCACATCAATGGATTTGTTATACGTACGTAGTACCCTATACATAACCTCAGAATTGCTCACTTGATTATCGGTAAACACATGAGCGATGCTTGGAAGACACTTATGATTGAATAGTGGTAATTTATGGAAATCTTCGATTGTATGTAGCTATGTTTGACAGTAATGAAATAGAGCGAGTTGAACTATTATTATTATTATTACTATCATTATTATTATTATTAATGGCTGGAATACTATAAAAACCGTATATTTTCTGTGCATGAATGAACCCTTGGAGTAAAGTGCTTCTCGCATACTTTGCGCCTTTTCTCTTTTGTCCAAGTTTCTGTGTAAGTTTAGCTTGAGGGTACAAGAATAGCTTAACAACCGAGTATAGCGTTCGGTTAGCAAGACTTATCATTGGGGTAGGATGTTAAAACTAATATAGGAGAGAAGTAGGTAGTGGTTCACATTATTAAACAATATACTACAGATTCTAGGCTATAAGCTACAATCATTTGTCGTACTTGGATAGAAAAGTTCTATCCCTCCTGGCATGATATAACTTAAAGCAACAGTCAATGAACGTCGTGGAATAATGTCTTTTCGTTCTTTGACCATCCCTAGCCTCTTCACACACTTAAATGTGTTGCAGCCATCTAACAGATCAAATGTTGTTTTAAAAGGCTTCAACTCGGATACAGACCATTTTATGGTTTCTGTTTACCAATAAACCATATTGGATAAAGTGACAATACTTGGCTTCGGGTAAAAAGACATTTATCAATACTGTTTAACTGCAAATATAGATGAATAGACTGCATAGTTTAGAACCGATGATGCTAGGGCGCAGGTACATTGATTCTTTGTCTTGTAAATTCTGTATCTCAGTATTTTTATTTCTAATTCATTTCTTTTCTCATCTCAAACCATATTTGCTGTGTTTTTAGTCTTTATTCCTACGATTGATACTAACTACTACTATTATGATTCCAACTTATTTGTCATGCATTTCATCAGTTTTAATTTCGCTGTATCGGTTTAGTGTTGCAACTTTGATAAATACCCATGTATACCAGATTTTATACCTGACCAACTGATTTACATTGTTTGTTGATGATACATATAGAATGGCACGAAACTCATCATCTTTAATAATATTTACTCCATATATCTATGACTTATGAGAAGTATTGTTTTCAAATACCTTGAAGGCCATTTCTTTTTCTTTGTGATAATGTTCAATTTTGTACGGTTATTGTGACAGAACATAGTTTAGAATGGTTGACAGTAGTCGACAAGAAATCCTAAACCTAGACATCATCATATGAAGGTTCAAATCCAACAAGGAGTCATAAGTTTCCTCAATATTGCAGGTACACCTTGCTGACAAGTATCAGCCAGCTACCACGAAACCTAGACCTCCCCTCGATTACTTCTAACCATCTTATGTCACAATATAATTCACACAATACCGACTAACTTAGACTGGTAGCAACATTCTAGCTTAATCCATGGAATTCGATCTGTACCAAGGACAAACATGGTGCTTATTCACTACTCAGTGTTCAATCAATCGTGAACTGCCATAATTTGATCATAACATAAGTTAATTTAAGCGATCAATAACAAAAATTATTGCTTCTTACTTATATGATATCTTTATTTCTTAAATCCATTATTTGTTAATAACTATCATAGATATATATGGTTTTCATGGAAATCGTAGTCTACCATTTCTTCGTATTACTTTGGCATTGCCACGTTTAATTGCACCAGCTAAACGTATATTAGATAATGGTTTATCATTTGCTGATTATTCATTACAGGTTAGTTTATAGATCAATTGATTAACCCATTATTAAGTGTGGTAAGGTTCAAAACTGCAGTGATGTCAGTATTTGTGTACCTTAACGTTCCCATTATATATATATATATATATATATATATATATATATATATATATATATATATATATATATATATATATATAAGGCTTTTTTCTCGGAGTTCGAATATCAAGTATAACCAGCAGTAGAGTTATCTTTCTATCCGACTCAGAATGTTAAAACTAATAGGAAGAGATTATTTTTTGGCATCATGGAGTAGAAATAGTAGTGTTAAATAAACGAAACAAACGTTCATCATGGCTGATTCATTCTCATCCCCACGCTTATTCCGGTTCTGATTACTATTATGAGATGATTGACTTAGTTTAAGGAAATTCTCTGTTTGAAATTCATATCATGCCTTTTTGACGGTAGAAACAATTGCTTAATAATTAAATGCACTGTTTCCAATACCTCGTTAGCAGGTTCAAACTTGCATCCCAATCTACTTCATTCAGAGCAGAACCAGATAGTTTTACAAGCCCTCATATAAATAATGTGTCCAAAAGCTTATACTGTAGATCTCTACTTGATAAATGAGTTACATTCATCAGTATTACTCAATTGATTTTGACAAATATAGTAGGTTTATATGGAGATCAATTGTTCATCATATTAATGTATAACCTGTTCTGCTGTACGTATCTTGGTTATGTCTTGTATATAGGGTAATCCATGTTACAATAAATGAACTTGTAATATCATGGTGGATAATTAGCTATTGGGTATATAAGACATTTAACACCATGATCTAATATTGGTTTGATGGTGTAGTAAAGACCATAGCAACTTACATTTTAGTTTGCATATGCTTAATCTTGTTAAGCCCTTCAACCAACCTATTTAATAGTCAGTGTCGTTAGGTCAGTAAGGATTGGTCTATATTTTTGTAGTATTATTATGTTTGTATGAGCATGTATGGTTGACCACGTGTTACATTCTACACGCATATTTCTCTTATTAGTTGATATATTATTTACTTAGATCACTCAATGATTTATTCTCTTTCGTGTATATATGTGCTATTTAAATCCTATTAATTCATTCACCCGCTTGTATCCAATCCCATTCGCATTTATGTTCGTATTCTTTTAGTGTGTTTGTGGTTTTGTAATCTGTTCTATCCACTAATAAACTGTAGTCCAAACTTCGTATTGTCTTACTGAAACGTATGCATTGTTGCGAGTTATGTAGTGACAGTTGTCAGGATGAGTGCAAATCAATCAGTCCTAATCAATGTACATTTTGCCACAAGTGTGCGTCAAGTACACAAGAGAGATGATTTAATCTTAGTATTAATAGTTTCAACAATGATTTCTCATTAAAGAATACTACTACTGCTGAGGGGTCCCATACTAGGACGAAACGGCTGTACAGTACTTTCAGGTTTGTCATGGTGGTCTAGCTTTAATTGACTCATGAATTCAACTATTAAAATACTATTTGGATTGAAGGGATGAATTCTCTGAATAAAAAACACGAGACTATGTTGAAGCCGAAGTCTGGTATGAAGATTACATGTGAATACATTTACTCCATTATGGCTGATCCAGAGCCATGTCACTCAAAGTTATCGCTTAGACCACAGGTAGACAGTCTACATCTACCTACACGAGTTAGTTCCAATGATCAATGACTTTATAGACTGATGCAATGTCTTCGTTTGGATTGTTTTATGTTACTTCCAACCTACTCTTACATCGATGAGCATAGCATATCTAGTTAGATGAGAGTTATACTTATGTAATACATGCCTCAATCGATTATTGTTTTCGGTTTCATCAGCTAGTTTGTCGCCGTTATATAGTACCATAAATTCAGCGTCAACACTGTCCACTCTGTCGCTCCATGATTCTCGAACAACTCTTCGAAGACACTTATGTTTGAGAACTTGCAGGCTACATATTTTCGTAGACTATGTTTCACAGCCATAGATTAATACAGAGCAGCAGTATTGATTTATATGTTGGATACATTTGTTTTATAAATGCTAGTAATAATATGAAACTGCTCAAAACCCGAAATATGTAGAATGCTGTTCAAATTTTCTACCTAGCATTTCAAATTCGAGTGGTTCAACCACTAAGCCTTCATTCTAGGAGTAGCTTATTCAAGAAACCCTACAACATGGTTGGGAAGGAAATCAGTCTTACCTTTAATCAATAATACTTCCTGTTAATTTTTTACTTAAGAGCACAACTTATTTGACAAGTACAGGTATTTTTTATGTAGGTAATTTTAGATCAAACCGTTTACTTGGAAGTCAGTACTATTTTACTATTTACTTTGTGTGTCGCTGGTGCGTTTAAGAGTGTAGTCCTCACTAAAGACTTCATTCTAGTCATTTAGAGCTATCTTCATCTGTCGTCCATGGACACGCTAATGTAGCGCATTTCAACTTGCCTGATGGAAAAATAAAAAAAGTTGGGAGTTACAGTTTGGAATGAAATCTTCCGTGAAAATTATGCTCTTATATCCAGTATTCACTCAGTGAATAGGGAAATTTCACATATTGGATATATATTGAACATTGAGAGGTAGATGTACTACAAATTCACAGACACTTGCCTACTTGCACCTACTACCTGATTGTTCAAACTGAATTGCGAGGAGCGGGATTTGAGCTTGCCACAAGCCTATCACTTAACAGTTTGGTGATCTAACCAACTAAGCTGTCATTCCGCTAACTAAAGTGTGTTAAAATTCAGATTATTGCTTACCAGCTTATTTATCATTAACAATAGTATAATCAAAAGATTTATTTCTGAAAAATATATTTCCCTTCTTTTTTTTCTCCACTGAATATATACTAGTCATATCCTGCTTTTGAAGCGAATATTGACTTTGAAATACGTTTCATGACTGATACACAAATGACTGGATGTAGTTGGGTTGAAGCACCAGCACAAAAATATCATTTAAGAGATTCTACACAGAAATTGGATGATATGAAAAAATCTATAAATCAAAAATCAAATCATTCTGTTAATTCTTCAATGATCTCTACTACGAATGGTTGTAATGGTGTTTCACAAAATGGTGTTAATGATCAATCGACATTGTTAACTAATCAAACAAGATGTCAAATTGAATTTGATATAGCATGGGATGCTTTGATTGTTCATTCACCTGAAGGTCAATGGAGTAATATCGCACCATTACGTATACTAAGTTTTGATATTGAATGTGCCAGTCGTAAAGGTTTGTTGAATACTTTTTTATTGCTGTTAACTAATTAATTGTTTATGGAAACAGCTGTATAAGATAGTAAGTAATAGTATTTGTGGAAATAGATAAGGTTAGAAGTCGGATACACAACCCGGAAGACATAGGTCCGTTTTGTAAAGAAAAAATTATGGGGAATTTCGAGACTTAAGATTTAGGGGAAGACAAAGGGTAAATGCACCTGGACCATTTCAAATGATTCTGAGTTATGTCACACAAAGTCTTTTGCCATTGGTTATAATAATCAATCAAATCTCAACCAGTTAGTCTACACCTATTAACATGGCTCAGTTCAGTCATAAATGACTTCATGTACTTATATCCTTGAATATTGATTTGCTACCACTAACTTCATACCAACCTACTCCTACATCAAATAACATCGCGTGTCAATGTAGGCAAACGATTCGAGTACGCAGAACATTATTCCTGGTCTCCTGAAACCACGCTCTAAACTACATGTAGGAGCTTTTAATGTCCGAACATTGTGCCGAATAGGACAACAGGCTTCCTTAGCTAGGACTCTAGAATCTTACACCATCGATGTGTGCTGCGTCTCCGAAACGCGCATACAAGATCCGAGTAGTGTATCTGGAAACCCTGATGCTTCTCTTCGTGGCCTCTCTGGTCTAGGTATAGCATTGAATCCTAGGGCAGAACTAGCTCTTTTAGACTGGATCCCAGTAGACAGTCGGTTGTACTATGTCCGACTAAACGGAACAGAAAGGTCTCGGAAAGATAAGGACACTCGTCGTTGCCTATTCGTCGTCTCCGACTGCAGCTCAGATGATGTAAAAGATGAGTTGTACAGAAGGTTTTCTGACCGTCTCCGAAAAGCTAGGCTCTCTGATGTAGTAATAGTGGCTGGCGACTTTAATGCTCAAGTAGGTAAACAAATCGAAAGGAAAAAACACCTTGGTGGATCTTATAGTGTCGTGGCTCAAAGAACAGATAATGGCGACCGTCTGTCTCAGCTATGCTCATATAACTGACTGTTCCTAGTAAGTATTAACTCGACATGTCGACCCCCGAATTCATCAGGTCCTAGAATATAGACATACATTCAGATGTCCCACAATAGTAGTATTTCTCGACCTTAAGGTGGCATTCAACTCCGCTGATCGTGAGGTTCTGTGGCAGTGTTTGTCACTGAAAGGAGTACCAAAGAAGTACATTAACCTTATAAAGGCTCTCTGCTCGAACACAACTGGTCGAGTTAGAGCCTATAGCGAACTGTCATCAGAATTTGTTACCTCAAGTGGTGTTCGTCAGGGCTGTCCACTCTCTCCATTCTTGTTTGACTTTTTCGTTGACATGCTTTTAGAAATAACACTTTCCTCATCCAAATTTAGAAGGGTTGAACTTTTTCCGTGAGACTCACTTGTTGACCTAGAATATGCCGACGACATAGTTTTATTTGGTGAAGACGCTGACAAAATACAGAGTCTTCTGACCATTATAAGCAACTATGCAGGCATGTTCGGGATGTGATTCTCCCTCTCGAAGTGCAAAATGTTACTTCAGGATTGAGATGCAGCGACACCTGAACTAATGATAGGGAGTAAAGTAGTTGAGTGTGTCGACCGCTTCACTTATCTTGGGAGTCTCATCAGCCCTTGTGGTCTGGTGTGTGACGAAATCTCAACACGGATACAGAAGGTTAGTCTAACTTTCTCCAACTTGCGTTATTTATGTTGTAGGCGAGATATCCGTCTAGCAACTAAAGGATGGGTTTACTGCGCAACAGTTCGTTCTGTCCTACTTTCTGGCAGTGAAATATGGCCGATAAGAGTAGAGGATGTTCGTAGGTTACTAGTATTCGATCATAGGTGTCTTCGACGCATCCTGGGACCGCCGGGTAAGTAGCGCAGTTGTTAGGAAACGGGTACTAGGTAAGGATGGAAATCGACTGACCAAGTTGTGAAACTTCATCAGACGTGCAGCCATCAGGACTGATTAGACTCGTAAGTGAAATAATCAATACTCTTAACTACTTCGCTGCTAATCAGTAGTTCAGGCACTAACGTAGTCCAATTGTGGTTATGGATTTAATATTTAATGGGAGAGAAATGCCATGCCGAATATACTTCCCATGTTACTAAAGGTTGTCAGAAGACTCCATTTTGTCGATTTGTATTCAAGTTTTAATCTATTTAGTGGAGCTGTAGCTCATTGGCTGGGTCTTTCGACTTTCAGCCACTACGTCAATGGTCTGACTCCCACTCTGTTCGGCTTATTCTGAGCAGAACTGGATGATATGATTATTGAACGCCACACTTGAAATGCTCACAGTCACTTATACAAATCTGTACATAATCAGTAAGTTATTCTGTTTTAAGTTAATCTTCATTCTGAGAACGTATAGTCCAGAGTTGATGTTCACTATCTAATGCTCAATTTATTCAAAATTAGCAAGTCAAGCCTTAATAATGATACATTCAAACTTATTGTATAATCCAACACTTTTCAGTTAGAGTAAACTGTTTATATAGAATGGGTGCTTTTTGTCATTGTCAATAAATCTGATCATTTATGTACGGAAGGTGAACTAATATATATTTCAGAATTTTATAAGGTGATTTCGGTTTTAAAATCAATCCACATTAATTTAACAATATTTTTTTATTCAGTTCTGTAAAGCTAGCTTTCCACGTTAGTGTTGATTTACATAACTGTCATGGTGACTCTATCGAGTTATATCGGTTGATAAATCTGTTTTCGGAGGTCTAATCATACTCCCAGATAAGTTGTTGCATGTACGAAAACGCACCCATTTAACCTGGGATATAGGAGTAAGTTGGAAGAAATCTAGAGGTAGTCAACCTGAGACATAGGATCAGTCCATCATGTCTTAGAGCTTTGAACTAAACCATGTTAGTAGGCTAAGACTACCTAGTTCGCGTTTCCACAAGGTTACGACTGAATAAATGGATGTTTTATCATTGATTGTCATCGTATTATTATGAGAGCTGATGTGTTTGTATTCATTATAGGTGTAAAATCGATTGAGTTGGATTAAACTAGAAGCTTCTTATTCATCAAATATCGCTTATATGATACCCATTGCCACGAAAGTATTCATTTATTAGAAGGGGTTTTGTGGAGATTTTAGTAATTTTATAGAGTTGAGATCATGAGTCATTTATTTACATACAACTTTATTTTCAATTCATTCAACTAGGTGTATTCCCTGTACCTGATAAAGATCCAGTTATACAGATTGCTAATATGGTTATTAACTATGGTGAAACAACGCCATTTATACGTAATGTATTCACATTGAATACATGTGCACCAATTGTTGGTTCACAAGTTATTAGCCATCAAACGGAAAAAGAACTGTTAGCTGTAAGTATAAAACTGTGTTGTGAATATATATGTGTTTTTAGTCTATTTAATACTGTATCTGTATGTGTAAATGCCCTGGTACGGCCGAGAGTGTGGAGAATCCGCTCTCCCTCTCGAAATGCTCTCACATGGTCACGCGTATATAGCCTTTGCTAGGGAAGTCCTACTCACTGCCTTCTCGTGGCATTACTGTTGTTTACGAAATTGAGAGGACGAAAGCGAATGTCTGGCACTTTAACTTGGTCGGTGGACACGGCGAGTCTGCCTAGGGGAGTTGAAAAACCCTGATTCCAAACCTATGGTTTACATGATCTTCAGTATCCTGAGGGAACAAATGGCATATGAATCAATCGTTGGTCACCGACTACCATGGGATTGCATCTCATCACGATGCTCCGCTGCCTTGTGGATCGGATCTTTATGTGAAAGGCTCCGGGTGTGGCCCCCTAAGTAAATCACCTGCTTCAGTTCGGGCACCTGGGCAGTATCACAGCCCTCAAGCAAATCGAATGAGATTTGTGTGGCGCATATGTATTTGGTGCTTCTTTGTACTAATATTTATGTGTTTAAATAAATAAACAAATATTAATTGTTCCTATCGGTAGTTAAAACTAACCGAAGAATCGCTGATAGCTAGAAAAAGACTCTTCGGGAATGTTTGTTCACTCATCTACCTATGCGAAACGAGATCTGATTGAGCAACTAAATATATCATGATCGACAGTCTATTCAAGATGGGAATTACATTAAACTTTTATAAAGTACCTCACAAAATCAACTCAGTAATATATATAACCAATCAATTGCTTTTAATGGCTTCATCATGAGGCTCTTTGTATATCTATCCACTAACGACCTAGACAGACAAGGATTGCTGGTGTAGGAGTACGTTGAAACAAAGATATGGACAGTCAGACCAAGACAAGATGTCAGTCCATGAATATACACTGACTCTCTAACTAAAGTATATAAGCAGATGCAGACTACCTGGTTGGGGTTTTCGTTACTATTGTAGTCAATGCTTAGGGACTTTGAATGGCATGGCCCCAGATTGTTCACAGTGGTGCAAATGCATCCACTCATTGTCTTCTACCGAATTTTGAACTTCTTGTCATCTTTTTTGATTTACATAATGTGTAATTTTTGAGATCGTCTCTCCGTTGCCTAATCGGGTATGACAACTTAAATCAATGTACACATATCCCATATTTTAAGTTGCATCTGACTGAATGAATAAAAGACGTTTACGAATCCCTAATTGTTGTATTTTAATGTCTAAAATAAGGTGTACATAAATAAGTGAATTAACACTAATAAGTGGTAACACAGTGAACTTTTACATTGATGTTGATTACAGGTGTGTACCTAGTTGACGAATACCAGATAGCACAATATCTAAATCCAGTGTTTCATGTCGATTATCTCCAACCACCAACTCACAGCTTAACATAGTACATGCGATGTTGAATCACTTAGACTAGTTGCCATATTGCAAAAGGACTTGACATACCTAACATTAGTCACTACTCAATAATCAATAGATCGTAAATATATGTATTTATGGTTAATATTTTTTATTTTTTGTTATATTTTCCAGAAATGGTCAGCGTTTGTGCGTGAAGTTGATCCAGATATAATCACTGGTTATAATATTCAAAATTTCGATCTACCTTATCTTATTAATCGTGCTAACACGTTAAAAGTTGATGGTTTTGAATTTCTTGGTCGTATACGTGGTGCACGTTCTACAATAAGGGAAGCTATGACTCAATCAAAACAAATGGGTCGTAGAGAGAACAAATTTGTAAATATTGATGGGCGTGTACAATTCGATTTATTACAGGTTAGTTTGATTTTCTATTGATGTTTATATGTTATGCCGCCTAAGGTTGACCATTGTCCTACCTGTTTGTAGTTTTTTAATCATCATGCTTCCCACAACTTTACTTCATGTTTTTATTTCTTACTGTAGATTTTTCCTATGATCCATTTATTAAGTTCACATCGTTTGTGTGAAGACGATTATGGGATACAACCCAGCTGCCCAAAGCGGAATAGTTGGGGTAGGGTTCGAACCTGAAACCTACCTGGTGGTTTAATATCAAAGGAACACCGTCTCGCATATATATATATATATATATATATATATATATATATATATATATATATATATATATATATATGCATCGTAGAAAGTGAAAGACTTCGTAGTAGTGATAGCGACAATGAATGAATTGATATCACACTTGTGATAGGAATATCTGAAAAAATAATTCTACATACAGTAGACAGTGATAATTTTGTCCAGAATAACAATGAAAACTTCATATTTAGACCATCTAACTTAAAGAACACACCATCATCGAGATTTCTATACTTCCGTTGGGTTTTCTTGTCAAATACTTGCTTGGAATAATAGCTATGCTTGGCTGAATGCATCAGTCAGTCAATCATCTACAACGTAGGATTTAAGTGTTCCTCCCATCGTTCTAATCGTCTAGACTGAGAACAGATAAGAGTTACGTCTTTTTCTGAGATCGTTTCACTTACACTTGACTTCTTATTAGAACAGAGTTTCCACAGCACATAGGCGACTGTTAACGGGGATCTATTCTAGTAGTGCTTGTTATTCCCTTGTACTTAGTGCTATGCCTACACCCACCAGTCCACAAGAACTAGCCATTGGGTCGCCAGATACATGGAGGGTGTATCTCGTCGGCTCTCCGTTTTGGCTAGGTGAGGTCAAGTGAATGATCACACTAGGATCCTGTATGCGTGTTTCGGAAACACAGCATACATCAATGGTACGAGATTCTAGGGTCTTAGTCAAGGAGACTTGCTGGCCGATTTGACATAGAGTACGTACGTTGAAGGCTTCAACGTGTAGTTTGGAGCGAGTTTTCAGTAGGATTGGGACAGCATTTCGCGCACTAAAATTGTTGATCATGATGACACTTTGGGGGGAATCATAGAGTTGATTGTTTAGGTAGGAGGGACTAATAGAAATGGAAGAGGGAAATCGATTATGGATATAGTGGTCTTTAGTGCTGTTAGTGGTATGAGGGTGGTTATCACTTCCCGGCTGCTCACACCGTGGAAGGGTTCTTCTAGAGATACTTGAAAAAAAATTGGGTTAGAGTCGCTCTTAGTGCCTCGAGAGCGTGACCTCAGTGCACAATGGACAACTGCTTGAGGCAGGTCACTCACGACCTTTTTGTAAGTCATTTTTGTGTTTGCTCTGTACTTGTTGAAATGAAATGCTTTAAAAATAACTTTATTACCCAAAAACATAGTTACCTTTTCCAAATTAAGCTTTGGCAAATTCTACTATATTTTTTTGCAGTAAAACTATTGACCATCTTTTCAAATAACCTCTTATCCCAGTGTAGTTATCTTCAGTCAATTTAATGTATTCAAGTTTCTTAGAAAGTTTTCAATAAAATAAACCTCTCTGACTTGATAAACTGTATATTTGTATATCTCGAGGATAGAAATAATTAAAAGTGAAGACCATAAAAGCCTGGATTCATCTTTCTCTTATAACTCCCAACCAAAGTATCGATAGTCGTGTTCGACAAACTACATACTGTCAATATCTTATTGAATTTAACCTGTACTAGACTTTGGTACATTACAATATTCCTTGTCCGTATCAATTCTGAAAATAGTTTAATTTATGAATTGACCGTAGCTGGAAGAATCATTTAAAACTAGGATACTCTTGACATCTATTTCATCTTAGTTCACTATGAACTCATAACCTTGCTAGTGATCTTTGGGTGTACAAAATCTCAGGTATATAAGACCTTGAAGTGAGCGTATCACTTTTAAATAACTACTCTAACAACATTCAATCGTTTACATTTCTAACTTCAGTCAATTTATTAAATTTAGACTTTTTGTTATTATGACTCTCAATACTATCTCTGGGGCGGCCAGACCAAAACGTGGCGAAAATCTATGAAGTCACTGACAATTGAACTGAGCCATGTTGGTAAGTGTAGACTACCTGATTTGGATTCGCGAGATGATAACAATCGATGGTTAGAGACCTTGAACGAAATGGCTCAAAATCGTTTGCAATGGCGATAGTGCATCCACTGTTTGTTTTCTACCAAATTCTAATCTTCCGGATTCTTCATGTCTCTATCTTTTTTCTCTTTTCAAATTTGTTTCACTGGATTATACTCCTTGAATATCATCTTCAAAGCCTAATCTTTCAGAGTACTGCATCTTTGTGCTAATGTGGTATGGCAACTTGAACTGATATACGTACGTACGAAGCTCTACGTTGTGACTGACTGACTGACCATCGCATCATTTACAAAATTGTTTTCCTTTCCAGTTGTGTTTTTTTATTTTAATTTCGTTTTAGATATTATTTCGTGATTATAAACTTCGAAGTTATACATTGAATGCAGTGAGTTATCATTTTCTTGAAGAGCAAAAAGAAGATGTACATCATAATGTTATTACGGATTTACAAAATGGTGATGCTCAAACACGAAGACGTTTGGCTGTTTATTGTTTAAAAGATGCTTATTTACCATTACGTTTATTAGATAAATTGATGTGTATTGTAAATAATATTGAAATGGCTCGTGTAACTGGTGTACCATTAACATACCTGCTTACCCGAGGTCAACAAGTCAAGGTTAGTATATGTATACTTTTTTTGTGCAAATACTTCTTTTAGCAGTTGAATTCATGAGTCGAGCTAAGCTAGACTACTATTAAAAACCTGGAAGCATTGGACGGCCGTTTTGTCTTAGAATGGGATACGCACCGTTGAAAAGTCCCATACTAGAATGAAACGGCCATCCAGGTTTTCTTTCAACAGTGGTCCAGCTCAGATGAACTCGCAAATTTAAAACTACATTTTGTTTGGAACTTTGACTACTAAGATTTAGTAAGTAGCATAATTATATATTGAAAGATTTCGCGACTCAATGTATTTTGTTTCTTCAATAGGTTGTGTCTCAATTATTGCGTAAAGCCCATGAACATGGTTATTTATTGCCAACATATCAATCGCAACAAGGTGATGAATTCGTCGGTGCAACAGTACTGGAACCACGCAAAGGTTTTTATAATGAACCGATAGCTACATTAGATTTTGCTAGTCTATATCCAAGTATAATGATGGCTCATAATCTATGTTATACAACTTTGTTACAAGTGAATACAACACCACATGGTTCGACGGGCGGTGGTATTCAAGCACTTGTTCAACGTTATAATTTAACTGATGAAGATTATATTAAAACACCGACTGGAGCGTATTTTGTTAAATCACATATCTGTCATGGTATTTTACCGGAAATTTTACAACAGCTTTTAAGTGCCCGAAAAAAGTAAGTATGTAATCTCGTTGGAGGTAAGCGCCCGCTTTGGGTGCTCTTTTAAACAGACAATTCTATAAGATAATCGTATTTTAATTTGTTATCAGCTTCGATATATATTTCTTAAGGTTCTCGTTACAAAATCAAACTTTTTCAGTCTACTTATCAAGGGCGGGACGGTCACTGCTATTAAGTATGTAAACCATAGGAATCTCACCGAATGACTTGAATGTATCTCGTCTATCGCAAGAGGTATAAAAAACTAAGAGTTATGTTTCCGTTCCTCTACCACCATCTTAATCTGTAGTAGCGTGTCTGAAAGTTGTATCTTTGATAGGTTCACGAATAATTTAACAGATCCAGAAAGTATCACTATATGTAAAGCAACGGGGTAAATTTTGTTACACTGTGAGACGTCTGATTTGTTAAAGCTAAAGATTCTAATCGATATCATGTATGATATTCTCAGTCGGGTAGGTGACCTTTCTCACGAGGTAAATTTTGTTACACTGTGAGACGTCTGATTTGTTAAAGCTAAAGATTCTAATCGATATCATGTATGATATTCTCAGTCGGGTAGGTGACCTTTCTCACGATTTTACACATTGACCAATGAACAACAATCCAGGTCTTTACGGTTTATTGGTCCTCGTGGCCCTCCTAACTCAGGGGCCATTTATAAACCGCATAAAGAAAGCAGATTAGTTCTCTATTATACCCAAATCGATCATGATTCAAAGCTTATACAATAGTATGCTGGAAATTTCTGTCGGAGAAATTCATTGTCAGTAACCAAGTTACAGTGTAACTGTAGCTTCTATCTCGACATAACAGTTGATCTTGTCTACCATGGTGAACTCCCACTCTAGCCATATTAGTTAGGATACTTCCTCCTTTAGTTCCTGTCATATGTAAATGTTCATGACTTACAGATGAATCTCTAAACTAGTCCTTAGGCTTTTGAGGACATAATCTTGGAGTGAACTAAGTGAAAATAAGTAAGCTTTTTGACTGAGAAAAGTCTATGTTTATGAAAGGCAAATTAATATCGTTAATATAAAAATAGAAGTCAATGTAGTTTATTAAACGCGTAAATAGAGTGACAAAAATGACACCAAACAGAGGATACACAAAGGAATGAACAAAGTTTAACATCTTATATGAATATTCGAATTTACGAATAATTGGACGAATAGTCTGATAGATATTTAATGCCTAATGAAGAAATTATTTGTGTGGAATCATATTTGCTTTCTTACTTACTAAAGGCCCTCAAATGTCCTAGTACGGCCAACAATGGGGAGAGTGTCCGTTGCTTTAACCGGTTTGGTGGACACGGAAAGTTCACCTAGAGGAGTTGAAAAACCCTCATTCCAAACCAATGGTTGGCACGGACTCCAGGATCCTGAGGGAGCAAATGGACCACTTATTGGTCACCGGCTACCATGGGACTGCACTTCCTGACGTTGCTCCACTACCTTGTGGGTCAGATTTTCAGGTCAAAAAAAACTTTTGTGTTACCTTGGTAAGTTTATAAATCATGTCCCCTTTTGTTAAGTTTCTTTGTTTACCAATTTTAATTAGCTTAGTAATTAAATATTATTAGGTTTTTCCTATCTTTAACTAAGATACATCCTATTCTTCATCATTGCTTTTTAAATTTTTGTACAAAATTCTTATCACCGCTACTTCTAGTCTGAGCCATGTTGGTAGATGCAGACTACTTGGTTGAGGTGCGCGTGACTATCGTAACCAATGGTTGGAGACTCTAGATGACATGGCTCAGAATCGATCACAATGGCGTAGGTGTATACATTCAATGTCTTCCCTTAAACCTTGAGATTAAAATTGCTTCATATCTGTCTTTCTTCCTGTACTATATCTTTATATACGATCTTTTATATATTATCACCACTAAATTAACTACTTCTATGAATCCGGTATGGCAACTTGGACCGATGTATATATGTGCCTGGTCCTACGTTGTAGCTGACTAACAGACTGACATTTAAATCTCATTAGTTTGTTAAGGTATTGTTTTACTTTCCTTATTGATTTCTCTTCTTCATTTACAGAGCCAAAGCTGAACTTGCTAAAGAAACTGATCCATTACGTAAGCGTGTTTTAGATGGACGTCAATTAGCATTAAAAATTAGTGCTAATTCTGTTTATGGATTCACTGGTGCACAAGTTGGTAAATTACCTTGTTTAGAAATATCCGCTTCGGTTACATCATTTGGACGTTTAATGATTGAACAAACAAAATTACATGTTGAAAAAAAATTCACTATTGCTAATGGTTATAAACATGATGCTGTGGTAAGTAGCATAATATTTAAATATGTGTTGTTTAGATTCTCATAATAGGACGAAACGGCCGTCCGGTGCTTCCAGGTTTTCCATGGTGGTCTAGCTTCAATTGACTCATGATCTCAACTATGTAAATACTGAAATCTCCACAAAACCTCTTCTAAACTTAAATCAAAATATTTACGAAAAATTGAGTGACTCTTAAAAAATGTCGTTGAGAAACTATAAAGCTAGTTCTTAACCAATTAGTATAAACCTTTTATGAAAAAACGGTTGAGTATATATTGTTTCTACAGTACTTATGATTTTATTTACTTTAACACATAAATATTGGTAGAAAAGGGCACCAGACGAAATTTTTTGAGGGCTAGGATACTACTCGCGTTCCCAAACCCGAGGCATGTGGTTTTCTTAAGGAAGGGGGTCAATCCCCGAGCCTTTGACTTAGAGGCTAGTCAACAAACTAATGAGGCAATATAAAATTATGCGGTCCCATGATAGCCCGTGACCAAGAATAGGTTTATACGTCGTCTGTTTCCTCAGGATCGTGAAACCCATGCGTACCTACCGACCCAGTTTAATCGCCTTGTAGTCGCTTTTGATCCTCATAGTTTTTTGAACAACAACTCCACAATAAGACTGTGAATAGGGTTTTACTATAATTAGCTATATATGTATGGTTACGTCAGAGCATTTCTAGAGGGATAACGGATTCTTTTCTTTGTCGTACCAGGGCATGAATGTCTCCATGTTCTTATAATGTTTTATTTTAAAATCGAAGGATATTCAACCCGTTAACGTGTTAAAAAAAGTTCGAGCTTTAACTTTCTCTCCCTATATATATATACCAACCACTATAGTAGTTTCACTTTGATTTTGCAACACGTCATCGGAAGTAGGTTATGAGTATTTGCCATAGTCTAATGTATACACTTCACAGTTAATATACATAAATAACTAATCACAATATCTACGCAATAGTAACATAGATAAGTGGTTTTAAGGGGCGGTTTTTCAAACAGGTTGTTTTTGGATTTGAATTTCTCTTCGGATCTACTGACGTTTATTTAGTAACCGTTTGTTCTTTTCTGTTTTTTTTTCATAGGTTATTTATGGTGATACAGATTCAGTGATGTGTAAATTTGGTGTATCCACAGTAACAGAAGCTATGGAATTAGGTCGTCAAGCTGCTGAAATTATATCTGAAGAATTTCCTAAACCAATTCGATTAGAATTTGAAAAGGTTTGTTCTGTATATAGATAAATATTCATTGGATATTTTAATTGACGTTGCGGCACATAATACATTGAACTAGTTAGAAGTCTCTAAATGGATGGTCTTTCTATTCGAGTAGCTTGATGGACTCGTATATAGGAAGTTTACTTATCAGTATCAACTCTGAGACACCGCTCATCACAGCAGTAGACATTGATGATAATTTGTTAACATGAATTATGAACTATACAATCTAAGGCTTATTGCTGTCATCTTTGAATTACACTTGATGTAGTGGATTTTACGATTTAATTTTAGTTAATCTCATGTAGTGAGTAAGTAGGATATGCGGTGTCCAAAATTTGATACTGATACACAGACTTCAGTGTATATTAGCTAAAACAACTACTTGAGCGAAAAGACTGAAAGTCAGAAATTTATTAAATAAACCGAATTCATATGCCATAACTGTGGCCTTACGATTAAAATAACCGGCCTATATTAGTATATGAATACTATAAGTAACTCATCCTAACTTTATAATCATCAGTGGAGTAATTATTCCAACCTGGTTAACCATCGGAGCGCTACCTTATTCTGCCGTAGTGATTGTCCAAGCGCCAACGACGAACCTAATCCGACTTGTACGCTCCAAATAATGATAAATTCATACGACCAAACTCGGGTCAATGGTTTCAATATGCATCTTCATTTGCATGTCCATTAGAAATCAAACTATCGGTAGTGTATGTATTATCTCTTACAAATGTCAATCACGTGCACTCATTTGGTTGATTTCTAATTTGATCAATGTATCGTGATGTGATTCATACTTAAGTGCTCTGGTGCGAGACTGGTAGGTCCTGGGTTCGAATCTCGTGAGTGCAGGGTCGTGGATGTGCACTGCTGAGAAATCCCATAATAGGACGAAACGGCCGTCTAGTGCTTCCAGGTTATCTATGGTGGTCTAGCTTCAATGGACTCACGCTTTCAGCTGTGATTTATTCGTTGGCAATCTTCATTTTAGTTGACACTAATTGCTTGTTTTGTTCTAGACAAAAATAAATAGATAAATTTAACAGTAATCACAACATTATGAGTTTGAATGCTTTTGCTTACATTAGATATTGGCATTTATGTTACCGCCATCGAGAATACTATAGTTACATATTGAAGTTCATCCATGAAAAATTGTTTTTCTTGTGGAGACCGATCTCAAAGATTTAAAAAGCCACTAGATAATCTAAATGTTGCTTCATGACTGATCTACATCAACACCTGAGCTAATGATAAGGAGTGAAGTAGTTGTGTGCGACGACCAATCTACTTATATTGGGAGTCTCTTAAGTCTTGATGGTCTGGGGTTCGACGAAATCTCGGGACGGATACAGATGGCTTGGTTATCTTTACCCAACTCCCACCACTTGTGGCGTAATCAATATGTCCATCTGCTAACCGAAGAGCGAGCATACTGCGTAGCAGTCCGGTTTGTATTACGCTATACGTATGAAACTTAATTTATAAAAGTAGGAGATATGCATTGGCTTCAGTCTTTCGATCATGATTATCTTTAAAGCATTGTTTACTTATCGTGAAACAACTGAATAAGTGCTATTGAGACCAAGCATAGGTTGTTCGGTAAAGATGTCAATTCAGCTGACCAGGTTGTACATCCTCATCGACCGAGGCAGCTGAAATAAGTAGTTCATATACCCAACTATCCCCACTTCGATGAACGATTTTAGCTGTTGTTCTAGTAGTTTTAAATGAATGTAGAGGGACCAAATCAAGACTATGAATCCACTAATAATGTCACTCAATATTTATACAAGCCACGTCGGTATATGCATACTACTCGACTGGAGACGTTTGGTGACACATCGGTCAGAATCGATCTCAGTAGGTACGCAAATGCATTCACGCTCTATCTTACTACACATCCAATATCAATACCAGTGATACCACAATTATTTTGATTCCTTTAGTATTTATCTTTTCAAATTCAGGTCTTCGTCCATCTGTGATATGATAACTCGGGCTATAGCACATCTATGTTATGACTGACTTAGATACTATTTTTATCATGAATATTAGGAGCCGCTTTCTTTCAGACTTCAGAATTTGAGCTTGACTATTACTTTCATGAATCTTATTTTGCCGAATGATTCCACCTTTTCAAGCATTTCAACTGTATCTATTACATCAATTTATTTGTCAGGCATCTCGTTAATTTCATTCCACTATACTAATGTGTGTGACGACTACGCACCATTCATATTTTATCAGGTTCTATATTATGTATAACTAATCGAATTTGATGTTTATAAGCCTTCACATCATCATTAGTTCATTCCAATGCATTTGTTTTTCCATGATAGAAATAATCTTTCTTACTTTTATATCATTAATTAATCTTAGGTGTATTGTCCATATTTACTGATCAATAAAAAACGTTATGCTGGTTTATATTTTACAAAACCAGATCGACATGATAAAATGGATTGTAAAGGTATTGAAACTGTACGTCGTGATAATAGTCCATTAGTGGCTAATTTAATCAATGCATGTTTAGAACGTATATTGATTGATCGGTAAGTAGATTAAAGTTATCTGTATGTTGTCATGTTATTATTGTCATTTAAACACATAAATATTGCTACAAGGAGGGACCAAATACATATGCGCCACACAAATCTCATTTTATTTGTGTCAGGGCTGTGATACTGCCCAGGTGCCCAAACTGAAGCAGGTGGTTTTCTTAGGGGGCCACACCCCGAGCCTTTGACCTAAAGGTCTGATCCACAAGGCAGTGGAGCATCGTAAGGAGATGCAGTCTCATGGTAGCCGGTGACCAATGATTGATTCATATGCCATTTGTTCCCTCAGGATCCGGGAGCCCGCCCATGTACACCATAGGTTTGGAATGAGGGTTTTCCAACTCCCCTAGATGGACCCTCCGTGTCCACCAATCTGGTTAAAGCGCCGGTCATTCGCTTTTCGTCCTCTCAATTTCGTAAGCAACACCCTCGCCACTGTGAGAAGGCAGTGAGTAGAACTTCCCTGACAGAGGTATATACGCGTGGCCATGTGAGAGCATTTGGAGTGGGAGAGCGGACTCTCCACACTCTCGACCGTACCAGGGCATTAGGGGGCCATATATATGTATATATCTTCTTGTGGAGATTTTGTGTAATGGTAATGAATTTCAGGAACTTAATGAAAGAACGCTCTGTTTTCTCCCTCATATAATGGGAAGTTAATTCACCTTGAACGATTATCTACACTAGATATCCTCCCAATATCTATTCCACGGAATTTCAACGCAACTGAGATCAAGAACACGTGACTATCCTGACTTAAGCGTAAGTATATTTCTACGCTAACAATAGACAACATTCAAAACAATAATAAGGGTAGAAAAATATATAGCTCGTTTAATATCTGTCAGACTATTTGCTTATCTGATTAAACAAACAATCAATCATTATTTTCATCGTCCACACATCATTTACCTTGATTTGGGTAGCCACTTCTACAAACTATTCGGTAGAAATTTGAATACAGAAAACCTGTTCTTGGTCAAAGTGTATTAGACTACTAAGTTCTGTTTTATTTGAGGTCATGGTTGGGAAAGATTTTCATGTTTAAACCAAGTGAACTCCTTAGTTTTTCTACAGACTTCTTCTAGAGGCTACTATCGTCGTCATATTTCAAATAAATTTAATGGGATTTTGTGTCACATTGGTAGTAATTCAGAAGTTGGAAATGCTACTTACTAGGAAATTTGATTACCAATAATCTTATGATTTTCGTTGTTCGAATATCTCGGGAGTTTCCATTAGGAACCTTCTATTTATCTTTGATAGACAGTCGAAAGCTATATACAAACTGTCACAGACAACCAACAAACCATTACATAATTGGAGCATTAAAACCGACGATTCAAAAAGCTACAGACCTCTTACACTGAGGATAATTGTCACAATAGGTGTGATGTCACGGACTGATTCTACTTAGACAATAATTGAAATTTAGGAAGCGCTGGTCAGCTTTTTCGTTCCGTGCATTCGATGTTTTCAAGACTGCACATCAGGGATCGAACCCAGATCATGAACTCTCAATGGTTGGTCTATGATCAGTCCATAATGTAGAACCACGAAAATCAACAATCTTGTTTTAATGGCAAAAATAATGATGTATTTGTTCCTTCAATACAAAATACGATAGATAATGCGATATAATTTATTCACCAATACTAGACTGGATATTGTAACTGGGGAAAACTAGATCAAAACACTAAATACGAAATAATCAAACTACTAGACTAGATCATTTTTGCACAAATACGCATTTCCGATTAAAAGTTAAACATCAGATTATAATGACAAAAGAGTTTACTCTCTGGAAGGACAAGCAGTCCACACGCAATGAACCCGAAATAGAAATTCCATGTAAATTAATTACCGTATAAAAATAGTGTTTAATATTACAGATCATGGAATGGGCCTCTGTCTGTCTTCAATCATTAACCGATCACAGCCTACTGTAACATCAAATTTCCACATTCATCTTTACTGTTAAATAGCCGAATTCGATGTTAAATTGTGTAATATCCATTATATTCAATTAGTATTGCTTGTTTGAATCTTCCCATTGATGTTTTAGGACTGCAACTGGTCAGTCTCTAATTGGCACATGTTCATGCTGTGCGTATTGCCTAGATATAGCCTAAATTCACAAGTATGGTAAGCAAAGATGGACAGGGGCTAGCAGTGAAATCCAGTTTGACGCGCGTTTCGTCCTATTTGGGACTCCAGCTTGGTGTATCTGCATCCTAAAACATCAATGGGAAGATTCAAACAAACAATATTAAATTGAATTTAAACTTCACCCCATGGCACAAACAAGTGGCTATCAGGTCTCAGTGGCCGAGTGGGTAACGCGATGGCGTTTGAAGCGAAAGGTATTGGGTTCGAATTCCTCCCAGCATGAACATCAACTCTGAGATGCAGGTACATCCAGCTGACGAGTTCCAAGTAGGACGAAACGCGCGTCCTGGATTCCACTGCTCGCCACTATCCATCTTTGTTTATCCATTATATTGTTTTCATATAAACGCAGGGAATAATTAACATTACGATTTTGATTTATCCAGTCTCCATCGATAAGGAGAATAGTTCTGGCTTGTCCACTACTGAAGATTTTTAGCTTTCAATAAATCTACCCAACAGAGTTGAATGAAGCAAAGGATAAAATAGCTGTCCACCTCGTATTATTTCTTTAGTTGGTTTTTTGAATTTGTTATATCTGAAGCGTTTCGAATTCCCTAGTTATTGAACGGAACAAAGACTTGTGACCATAAACCGATAAGCTGACTATTCTGACGCGTACCAAACCCGGCTAACTAGAGTAAGAAGTCCAAGTTGGAAGCGGGGAAAATATATTCCGTAGCGGCCAGAAGCACAGCAATCGTAAGGGGTGGAAATCAAACGTATATATATAGCAATAGATTGTTCTTGGGCAGCATTACAAAATAGCACACTCAAATATACAACGGACCAATGGCGTTTAAGATATCTTACAAGTGGGAAATTCGACTCGAAGGTGAAAAGAGCGCTTTGGCGCGAAAACAAGGAAATTCAAATTTTCAAAATAAGGTTACAAAATTAGGCCATTTACCAAGTATGTTCTGGGGATTTAACATCCCCAACAGAATTAAAGTCAGTTCGTGTTATAAACCTTTCTTCGGACTAGACTGTTTCTCCACAGACTTTTCAATATTCAATAAGTTTGTCATTCATTTTTATTCTTTTTTTTCAGTGATCCAAACGCAGCGATTAGTTATGCTCAATCAGTGATCTCAGATTTATTATGCAATCGTATTGATATTTCACAATTAGTTATTAGTAAAGAATTAACAAAAACCGATGAAGAATACACTGGTAAACAAGCTCATGTAGAATTAGCTGCAAAAATGCGTAAACGTGATCCAGGTTCAGCGCCAAATTTAGGTGATCGTGTACCTTATGTAATTACTGCTGTAGGTGGAAAAAATACAGCAGCTTATGCAAAAGCTGAAGATCCTCTTTATGTATTAGAGCATAATGTACCGATTGATACAAAGTATTATTTAGAAAATCAATTAGCTAACCCTTTACTACGTATATTTGAACCAATTTTAGGTGAAGTGAAAGCAAAATCTGTACTGTTAAGTAAGTCATTGTTTATTGTTCGTTTTAAAAATCGTGTCTGTACATTACTTCTCATATCCGTTAATTACCCCTCGTGGGGCATAGACCACTAACCAGTAAATTTGTTTTCTGCCCTCCTTTCCAATTGTTGTCAAGTTCTACTCATCCTTTTGGTGTGTCTCCCACTTCCGACACTGTGTTATTTTGGTCTGCCTTTCTTTCCCCTTTTGCTTGAGATTTTCAAATTAGGATTTGCCTGGTGATTTAGTTGGGCGGTTTTCATAAAGTCTTCACCATCAATCTACAGTGTCTTTGTATATCACTGTTAAATTTGTAAAACTCTACGCATCCTTCTTTACAAGTCGTGCAGTAATCGATATCATGAGGATTTATATGTACATTTGTTAGTTTTGCTGTATAGGTGGTGGATGTACACAGTTCTACGTATATAATTGTCTATTTCCTAATTCAAACTGACTAAAAAATGTTATTCTGCTGCCTCTTTTTACATATGTACGAGTTTTCAATAAGTACAATCTCGTTTTTTAAACTGTCTCTACTGGAATTGAAGGTGTTAGATAATTTTTGATTTAAGTTATGTTGTAGTGAACGAACCTTCTTTTGACAGGCATTCCACCTCTGACAGGTATTACATACTACTTATATCTGTCAACATAAGTAGCATACACCACATTCGTCTCCCCTTTAACAAACTATTCTCGCAGTCGCTCCGGTCGTCGTACCGCTATCTTCTTTGCCGTTGTTCGTGACTCACCCTCATGATGTCATTAAAACCATCTTTACTGTAAACTGGTATTTACATGATTCTGCTTAGCTCCTTTCTGAATCATGTAAAGCGTGCCACGTCTCCGTGAAAATGTACGGTCCTTACAATTTCGGAATCAGTCTCTCTGATCCCGATCTCCCTGCTATGGTGTATTTCCGTTCTCTACACTTTACCAAGCTCTCCCCTACTAAAGGCTTACACTTTCTCTCCCGTCTCGCCTTCTTTGTGTCTGCTATTTGTTTCCCTTTCATGTTCCTGATTGCCTTCCTCTTCTCTTAACGTTGACGCCATCCACCTCTGTTGCCGTGGCAAGGTTTTATTATGTATTGGAAGTTGTGGTTGTCTACCATACATCTGCAGGAAAAGTGACTTCTTAGTTGTTCCTTTTATGGAGGCATGATGCGACGGTAAAATTAATGGCAACTCTTTCTCTCGATTCCCTCCTTTAGAGGCTAACTGTTCCTTTAACGTCTTGTTGTTTCTTTCTGTAAGTTTTTATCTGTGAGTGATGCGGTGTAGTACGTATCTCCCTGATGCCAAAGTGCTCTAGACGGGCTTTAGACTCGTCAGTTTCGAAACAGGGACCCTGGTCGGTCGATATTGCGTGACCTGCCGCAATGTGTCGGATTACTACTTCAGTCACTGTTCTTGCCCGCTGGTCTGTAATGGGCACGACGTCTACCGGACTACCCGATACAGCCTTCAACATGTCATGCTCCGATTGGAAAATGGCATAACTTTCCTCCTTGTTAATTGGCTTAATTGTAATGATGTTATAATCAATACTAATAACTATAAATACTTATTTTTTTCTGTACATTTTTGATTCTTATCCAATAACCACTTCCACTTGCATTTTCGTATTTGCGACTGTGAGGTTCTACATTTTCGAGTGCCGTTAGTTGTATGTCGTAATTTGCCGTAATCATGTATAGAACGTAACACTTTCAAACCCCACTACTTATCCTGTGCATACCAGAAGTCAGTATATGTTTGAGACACCTAGGATAATGTCCAAGAAATGTATTCTATACTAACTTAAATGTAAAACTTGGTCTTTGAAATTAGAGAACATTTACGTCATCATAGGTTCCTTCGAGTGATTGCTTAAATATAGTGAAACTACCGAGTTGTACTGAAGTTGTGTGTTTTGTCTCAGGTAAATATGATAAACAGGCCCATGTGCATTTTCTTATTTGTCTATTTTTAAGCTTTTGTTTGATCCATGAATCCTCCGCGAGGCGTAACAGGCGTAAGTAATAAATCGTTGTTATATGTCGTATCATTGGTTACTCCCATACTACTCCGGTTTTGTATCACTTATGATTGAGTTGTGTACATGCTGCAATTCCCTGATTATGTCGCTGTATGGTCAGATATTTCAAGTATTTTATTGAGTAAGTTTTGAGTCATGGTTAAATTGAACATAAATGATCTGCTAGCCACAGGGTCGCCAGAAGCTTAAGGAGAAATAAGTGTTATGATCTTGGTTCGTATGTCATTTGGTAAATAAGTTACTGGTTCTAATGGTACTATAGGTGAACTAGTCAATAATCACACTAGAGAATAATAGAGTGATCATACAACGACTTTGTAGTTACCTCAGCCCGATTACGTGGGACTCAGTACGATACTGCTAGCTAACGATGTTTTTTTTCAGTGTAATATCATCCCTTTTATTATATATTATATTATATTATATTATATTATATTATATATATATATATATATATATATATATATATATATTATATTATATTATATTTTTTCTATGTGCTGCATAGATGGCGAACATACACGTGTAAAAGCTGTGGTACACTCTACCGTTGGACAATTATCAGCTTTTACAAAAATACGTGCATCATGTATTGGATGTAGAACATTATTACCGGCTGATAAAACAGGTGAGAGGAAGACTAAGTTGAACATATGAAGGTATTTTGTGTACCATTTTCTATTATTTCATTGTCTTTTTTTCTAATAACATTGAGCTGGTCAACCAAACAAGTATTTACATTCAGTAGGAAGGTAACATATTTGCTCTGAAAAGACTATCATTGGCTAGATAGATATTTGGTAGTCTGTCAGTTCAAGGTGATGCAGGGATATGTTCGTGAACAAAATGACCTCGGGTGTTGTTAAATGTATGGGACGGTTACCATTTCCCGGCTGCCCATACCGTGGGAGGGTTTTTCTTCTTAATGGTGGTCTTAGTGACCTAGGAGCGTAACCGGAGATCCGATATGACAACTACTTGGCCTCGGTCAAACACGGCCTTTCTATCGAATGTTTTTGATGTGCTAACTCTGCTTGCCAAAAGGGCTTACCGCCAGAGGTGAAAATCCGTGGGGTAAGGTGTGGTGTGTCTATTCTATGGTCGAACTTCCATTATCCCTTCCTTCCGTTGTGAGAAGGCAACATTGCTCCAGATGCTGGTTGTCTGAGTAAATCACCTTACTGCTGTCACACTTCAGTACAGTCACCTTCGGACCTTTAGTTGCTGCTTATAGTCTTACGCTTCTCCAACCAATCTGGTATAGTAAAACCCTGCAAAAAGATGTGTTCTAGGCACTATATTTCAGTCGAGCTATCACGGTAAGCAAGCTTAACCACCACGTCAAGTTAGCAGCTAAGGTCCAAGGTTGATTATTATTATTATTAGCTTTATTCAATATTATATTATTTGGTACAAAATCGAATTCTCAGCTTAAAGTATTTCAACAAGCGTCCGTTTCTTATTTCTTCGTTTCTCCTAAAGATAAATATTTAGCGATCGCCAGTTAGATGTCAGCAGTTCAATCAATCGACATATGAATAATGTATATTCTTTTCTCTGCATGTTCCCAGCAAACACGACATCTCTGATTAGGCCTTTTGTAACCTTTACAGCGAAAGGTTGTACAGTTTTCAGAAACGCACCGGAATAGGTTGTGTGATTAATAGCCATAATGATGTATTAAAACAAATAATACTAGATAACTTGTTGAAATATATAGATGACAGGAACAGATAGCCCAGATGTTTAAGCAGGCCGCCCATAGTTAAAGGTAAGTAACCTGAAACTTTGGACTTAAATTTCATGCTTGTTATCTTTCTTGTCAGTATACGATTGCTCACAAAGATACTGAGCCATATCAGCTGATATCTTTCATTTCAATGGCTTGGAACTGATTAACATGAAACCACCCTAAAATTAACTATAACCCTGTAAGAACATAAGGATAGCAGCTGCGATGTGGAGAAGGAAGGGAGAATAATGTATGTTGATATAACCAGTTTAGTAGGAATTAATTCATTATTTACATAAAAGTTCGAATGATTTCGAAGACCATTGTCATTATCCATGTTTTTCTTCTTTTACTTCTTCGTCGAATCTAGATTCAGCTTTATGTAAATATTGTGAATCACGTGCATCAGAAATATATCAAAAAGAGATTGTACAGTTAAATCTATTAGAAAAGAAATTCACTTCTTTATGGACAGAATGTCAACGTTGTCAACAAAGTATACATGAAGAAGTTATATGTACCAGGTAGATTTATTATTATTACTTTGAGTTATATTCATTGTATGATGTAGACTAGGAATTCAACGATCTTGACGTACCGCCTAGATTAATGATAATGCGCTCACTAATAACTCGTACACAGAGTTGTAGTGCGAAACTATTGAATGAGGTTCGACAGGTATCAGTGATAACAATGAATGATGATCTCACAATATCGCGAACTGACTGAGGTTACAAATTTAAATTTAGTGGTCTGGTGATCCTAAATGTGACTCCTAATGACGTTTCCCAAATACATACATTTGACGAAACGGTTGTAAAGCGCTTCCTAGTTTTTAACGGTACCCTAACTGCAGTCAGTGAGTGGCGTCAGTTACAAACAATAATGTTAATTTAGTCTTGAATATATGTGGTAAGTCCTACAGAAAGAGACTACTGCACACAGTTTAACATTTTCCCCTGTATCTATTGAATGGTTTGTGTTAGCATATTATTTCGTTGGTTCTACTTTTCATTATTTGCATTCGTACATTGGCTACAACCACTTTGATATACCTCCCGAAAATTGGATACAATATGTAGATTCTATCTTATTTTAAACTTGCAAGCTGCACTTATCTTAGTGTTTCCTTGTTACAATTGATAGAAAAACCATTCGTTGTACATAGCGTCATCTATCTCCCAGTATTCACCACGAATCACTATCCAAATAGCTTAGTCGTTTCATACTTATCTATTTTTGCTTTCATTCGAATGTATCGTTCCTCATTACACTTTTCTCTTTCCTTGTCTTCATTGTACCGTATATTGAAAACTGCTGACTAGAGTGTCATCCGGTTCTGTTAACATCCAAAACATCACATTCAAAACCTTTATTTAGGTGAATTACATTTACCGTGCAGTCTAGAATCAACTTGTATTGCTGAACACAAAACAAGGTGCAAATGAATGAATAATGTCTTGCTTCTATTTGTTACTGACGATACCTTCGGATTTAACAGTCGTTTAGCCGCACTGGCTATTTCCGCTATAGTCCAACAGCTGTAGCTGATGAATGCGGTACTACAAGGCACCAATCGTCCATTTGCATCTTATGTATTCTTTAATGCAAGTTAATTCTAGGCTGTTTCCTCGTGCTTCCCTTCTGGTCTTCATATTATACTATATATGCAATAATTTCTATCCTTCTGAGAATTTTCTTTTCGGTTGTTGACTGTGGCAACTTCCACATGATGCTCTTCAACATACTACATATAATCAATCTTATGAGTAGCATTCACCACAGTAGTAATACATATATTAATTAATTACTAATGTTAACATAATTTCTGTACATTTCAGTCGAGATTGTCCAATTTTCTATATGCGAATGAAATCACGTAAAGATGTAGATGAAGCTTATAAAACAATTCAACGTTTTGGCAATCCTAATTGGTAAAACTCATATTGATTGAACTAATAGTCTATTATAAAGAAATAAATAAAACAATAACAATATTCTTTAATATCATTTGATCAGTAATTATGCATTTTATCTCAGGTTTTGTTTGGTTACCTTATTCCAGAGTTCAGATTTATTATTATTCTATCCTAAATATTTTTTTATTATTTTGAAAAGTGCATTTCTGAATTATTGTACTTCATGTTTAAATTGTTCAACATGTTTTTCTTTTGATTGGAGTACAATTTGTTTCTTTTTCGGATATCTATTTGTAAGAATTAGATAATTATAAATGCCTTATTTTCTAAGCTAATCACTAGATGATTGAATACAGCCAAAGTTGGGACAAGTAGGTGATTTGGCTTAATAAACTTTATGTTTTGAATAGTTACTAGATGACGAAAAATAATGAGGCAACAGAACTTTGTAAGATTCTAACTGGCAAATAAACGAAATGTAGCTACATAAGGGTCAAAGCGAGCCAATTTAGTAGTGGGCATTAAGTGCTAGCATTGGTGGATTCATTTATCAATCACAGCCAAAATTTGTACTAACTGCCAATACTTTCGATACTAATTCTGGATCCAAGCAAAAAACATTCCGGTCTTTATTTGTCTAGATTTAGCTACTTTTATATAGCACAATCGAATGAGTGAGTCCAATAAATTATTTGCAACCTCTAGACTACTTCTCTACCTCATTGCTCGTTCTAACCATTCACTACCAAAAAATCAGTGCCTTTGAAATGAATACCAAAATGTTATCAGAATTCGACCAATTCAGGCCATATTTGTAACAATGATTAGAGATTTCACTGGAAAGATATGCAGTGTGAGGATGGCCGGCGATTACGGTCATCTTTTCACGGGGCTTGGATGGTGCCCGCTGAGGGACAGCAGTTACAGCTTTGCGTGACAGCAGCCTGGCTCGCGGGATGTGGGGTTTTGGGATGATGAAACGGTCTCGGATATTGAGACAGCTATGTATACAGTGATCCCGTAATTGACTTCTTTGTGAGATTCCCCAGCAGTTGAGGTGTGTTCAGAGTTGACACTCACTAGGTGTGGAAATGTCAAGTCGCATTTGACTATGATCACTACTACAGACCAATTACCAGGTTAAATCCCTTAGTAGGATAAATACTAGAAGGACAGTTGTAGTTAGGATATATTTGTTAGTCATCTCGAGGTATCGTAATAATGCTGAGATCGTGCCAAAGTATACAGGCGAGACTATCGTGCATACGTGAGTAAGTTCAAGGTTACAAACAATGGAAAAAGTTTAAAACAATTAGTCCCTTTGATAAATTTCGATAATGCAACATAATTCTGATAAACTTAGTCTTCTCATTGCATTATCGAAATGGAAAAAGTGTTTTTGGTACACTTAAACAAAAAGTTACAGCAAAACAATCACTGGTATGATTGATTATTAAAATTAACTTTTCCGATACACCAATCGCGTTCTCTTCATATAAGTAGATCACTACAACTGTTTAATGTTGTATTTGGAGTAGTCAGAACTTCTAAGAGACTGAAAGGATGCTACAATCGGTCAGGTCTAAAAAACTAAAAGTAAATATTTGTTAAATAAAAATCGCCCAGTTACCACAGTAATATGGTCAGATTAATGGAAAGTATTTTTCGGGTTACCACTCTGCGTTACTTAATAGAGAATAATCATCCATTGATGCAATAACATAGTTTCAGAACAGACCTTTCATGTTCGATTCATCATTTCATCGAAAAAACTGATTGGACTGCAGAGAAATATAGGAGTATTCCAGGGGATGTGATTTTCACTGAACTAAGTAAACTCTTCGTTAAGGTCTGTGATCCAAGTCTTAGATTTCAACTTCGAAGTTACGGAATTATTTGTAAGCTCACGAATCGACTTTCACAGTGCTAGGTGGAAACGAGTGAGAGTAAATGAAGCCGTATCATATTTAGAATCTGAGGACGATCCCAGGATCTCTTCTTTTTTTACTTTAAGTAGATGATCTACCAAGTACCACACAGTCATCTGTTCTACTGTTTGCTGATGACATTAAAATATGAAGACCCACATAAATTGAGACTGATAAGATAATGATTACGATTAGACTTGAAAGCACTAGTTCAGTGAATAAATCAGTAGTCACTAGAAATAAATTCTACCAAGAGTATAATAGTGCAGATAAGTTAACAAAATGATTTACATATATACACAATAAATGGAATTCCATTATTCAAGTTTATTGATGTCTTAACCGATTGCCATTATCTTAACGTAGATTACCAAGTAGTCTGATATTAGCTAACCGTTTGCTGAATGTCGATGTTGGTGGTGATATGTTTTATCATTATCTTCGATCTAGGACTGGTCATCTGAGGTTAAAAAAGTCGAGATCAAATAATCTTCTTCTAGAGTTCATTCCTCACATCTAGTGGTGAATCACTAGAGTTTTCAGCCGGAACAAGTAATATCAACACGTATTAGTACACTCAAAGTGAGATTGAATCTCCACAGTAATACACATCGAAGGGATTAAAATAAGTCATTTGACCTCCCATTCATACATCTGAAGATCGAAAACAGATATGACTTACAACTACTTGTTACTTTTGATTTTAATCGGTTGTGGCTGACTCCTGTCCTATGTATTCATTTCGATTGTCATTTCCCTCGACACGAACTTTGACATCACAGATGTCCGAAGGTGGCATATCCATACTCAATACTCCCTTGGGTATTCGAGTACATACCGGTCGTGTCACGTAAAACGCCGCCTGGGTAGTAGTCTGAATTAAGTTTTGACAGCCAATCTCGCTTTACGCGCTCAGCACAGACCGTCTCATTCCGACGGCACACCTCCCCCTCACGAGAATTAATCTCGATCGCCGGGTGTGTGGTGCGACCATCAGAGCCTTGTCTGTTAGCCTGCACTCCTGTTAGTGGAGCCTCTCATCACGAGAGTTTGCTGCTGCATGACTCAGACCTTCCCGTAAGGCTAACACGAGTGACCAATTATGCACCCTTCAGATAACCTCACAGTGGCTCTCCCCCAGGCGACGATAACGTGCACTTGGTATCACTGTCCAAACTAAAACTTCACATAAACAGTATAAAAGTATAATTTGCATGATGTTTTCAAACATCTAACTGAGGATATCCTGGTTGATCCTGGGTTAAGAGACAAGAATTAAAAACCAACCTTTACAATTATTTCTTCACAACCAACTTTACTTCTTCTGAACTTCTGTATTTTAAATTCACACCATTTAAGTAGTATATACGGTATTTACATAGTGAGTTAGTTTACTTCCAACCAGACATACCATCAGTTGATATTGAAATTGAACAACAGACTTCCATAAACGAAATAATGGTATAAACATTTATTCTTTTTGCTTGCGATGAAGAAAGGAATTCATGATTAATCGCTACCATGATTGTTAATATGACTATATATACTACTTAAGTAGTGTTAATTTGGTTCATCTGTGCCAAGCACGTAAAGTGAGACGGGCTGTCAAAACTTAATTCAGACTGCTACCTAAGAGGCGTTCTGCGTGACGCAAACGGTATATAGTTGGATATTAAAGACGACTAGTATGCTTCGAATATTTTGCTTTCAATGATAACAGTCATTCTATCTCATGAATACTGTTCGACTGAAATGATCTCTATCGACTTCCAATTTCCCAAATATTCACTGAAATTGTCAAAAACGTCAATCTACGGAATCCTACATAGAGGCCATCATTGTTTAATCAGGAGATATTATATCCAACGTTCGCAACCAACAAAAAAGTGCTTATAAAACTCCATTTCTAGCAAGTATCAAGTACATGAAATATTTCTCTTTTTCATTTATATGTCGATTCATACAACACAACAATCAATTACCAAATAAAATGTTTCTCGAATTATGTTCTGATTAGTATTATTATTACTACCGCCTGTTCTTATTCTTAATCACAAAATTAATTCAGATTACTACCTGGGAGGCGTTCTGCGTGATGCGAACGGTATATAGTCGCATAATATAGACGACTAGTAGGCTTCAACTATTTTATTTTCAATGATAACAGTTCATACCATTAATAATGTTCTACTAAAATTGGTATGTAGTAGCGAAGACATAAGTATGGGTAACTTTCAGGACCTACTATTGGACTATCATTCTTATCGTATAACTATTCGGTAACTAGATTATCTATATTCATCTTATTGTAAGCTCCATTTTGACCTATTGATTATTACTATATGATTTACTGTCCCTATGTTATGCTCAGTTTTATTGATTATTGTCTCCCACGCTTACAGCCTCATTTGGCCTGGTTTTGTACAAATATTATTTCCTATTTTATGGTGTGGTCTGCCTGTCTGGTATACAGATAAAGTATGTTTGAAATAAACGATTCGCATTACAACAGCTGCTATTGGTGTTTTGGAAAACGTGTTTGTTCTTAATGAAAAACGTTCATTTTTTAGGAATATTCGTCAGTATTAGAACGAATAGTTTGACAGAAATCGGACACCGAGTATAGAGAAGACATTATATGTGACTAAACTAAAGTCAACATCTGAATATGATTGGTTAAGTACATTAAAGATTTGATCTGAATGTTAAACACTATATGTTTTTTTTAATAATCTTGATTTTATCAATTTTGAGAATTTGTGGAGATTGTAGTATATTCAAAGTAGCATTCACGAGTCAGTCTAAGCTACAGTCTACACAAATCCCCGAAATTGATAATTATCATGTGCTCACCAGTGACTTACTTCAAGATGGATTTCATTGAGTTCTAGTGAGGAATCGGGACCAGTGAAGTCCAATCCATGTCAGGTGTGAGAGACAGTTATTCACCTGAGGCAATAGATGAAGGGTTGCGCAAGATCTTTGATCGATAGAAGTTAGACATTAACACCGTTGGATATCAGCTTAATGTTTTAGAGGTTAGGAGTGCGAATCCGAGACCGAAGGTCCTAGGTGCGGATACCATGTGCGGAATCGTGGATGCGCACCACTAAGGAGTCCCATATTAGAACGAAACAGCCGTCCGGTGCTTCCTCGTTTTCAATAGTGATCTAACTCTGCTTGACTCGTGAACCCAGTTTTGATTATTACCATGAAGAAGTTCAGGCAAGTTCACCGGACTAAATATTGGAATTATTTAAATTTCAATCACGGAGATGATTTCAAATATAATTTTTACATGTAATGTTGTTGTGACATGCGCTGTTCGACATATGATACTAATACACAGTATGCTACGTTCTAAGCCCCCAACCGACTACCTCATCAAGAACACCAGAGTGAGAAAGTGTAATGAACTATGGAGTCAAACGCGAAAAATACTCATTCATAAGGGGTGAGTTATCTACTACTCCTGGTGGTATTTTGTGTCTAAACAATCGTGTTGTTATTCCTCCTTCGTTACGTAAATCTGCCCTAAAATATCTTCATAGTGGATATTTAGGTGTTGAGAAAATGAAGTCCTTTGCAAGACTCACTTGTTGGTGCCCAGAGATAAATGCAGGTATATGTCATACAGCAAACAATTGTGAGAAATGTCATAAGTTGAAAAGTCAGCCTTTGAGGTGGACTTCATGACCAGTATCTTGTGAGGCGTGGTAGAGAATTCATGCAAACCATTGTGGCCCATTTCTTGATTAATACTATGCATTTGTTGTCGTTGATTCTTTTTCCAAGTGGCCTGCATTCTATTCAAAACCTCACCTACTTCTGACTTTACAATCCAAGCATTATGAAAAGTGTTTGGTTGGGAGGTGGTTCCTATGATATTAGTGACTGATAAGCGCCCCAATTTTGCTGCA